GAAAGATGCCCTTGGGTTGGGAGCTAAACTGCTTTTGTCAGGCTTGTGTGGCTTGACCACAGGCAGCAGGATTACTCTGACAGGACTGTAGCCTCTTCTGTTGTAGCCATAGCCAAGGAATTTGTTCCCTTCTTGAGAGAGAAGCTGTGCAGCTCACTTGGCACCAGAGTGGATGCAACTGTGATGGTGCCAGAAAAAGGCTAGCCCAAAATGTTGAGGTGCTCTTCTGTCTGCTCTAACTGGTGAACTCCCACTTTTTTAATAAAGAACCTCTTAAATGTAAACTGAAAAGAATAATTGCAGCTTTCATTATGTCTCCTTCAACTAACTGCAAAGAGTGGCCTAGGGCTATGTTAAGTCTTTTGTGCCTCCATGGCAGGTTGTTACTTTTGCACAGCTGTTTAATCTGTAGTTTATTACCTGAAGTTGTTTCATTAAGACTTAGTAGAGTGATTAATGTGTTCTGGGGCATAATCCTCTCCCCCACCCTTTTTAAAGGAGATTGGAAAATATACCCCTGGATAAGCCACAGAAGAGGATGGAGTTCAGAGCACATGTAAATATCTCAGCTCAGAGGTGTATCCTGCCTGTTGCTGATGCATGATTGATGGGGGTGGGTTTTTTTTGTTTTTGTGGGTGTTTGGCTTTTTTTTCCTCTAAACACAAAGCCCCTGCAGTGTTTAGGAAATGCAGTAACTTCCTTCCCTGCTACCATGCTCTGGAAAATACTTTGTGGGGACATGGCCAAGGCTTATTAATATTCTGAAGATGGCAAAATTACTTTAGCGGTTCTGTGCCCTGGCTAAACCAGCTTGCCTAGTTTGGGCGTCTTTGATGTTGCCTTGCTAATGTACAGTTGCTAACAAATTCCCTCTGAAAGGAGACTGCAGTTTTATGCTCTGCAAAGCTGCATTTGCATTGTGCGTTTGAGCAGATGTGTGAATTGTCCTACATTTTTTCATGCTGTTAGCGTGTGAGAGGGAATCAAAAGATTTCAGAGCCTGCTTTCACTTCTGTAGAGAGTGAGAAAGATCATAGTGACATAGACCTGTCACTGCTCCTTTTATGCCTGTTCAGACTTTTCTGCTCTGGCAATTCTACTTTTCTAAATGTGGAACCTAATTGGCATCTTTCAGGCTTCTTTTCTACTCCTCTGTTTGCCCTATATGCTTCCACTAATGATAAATCTCATTACTTGCGCTAATATGCAGCTTGTGACAGTTGATAGAAAGAACAGAGCTTATGGAAAACGTGACTGTCTACCACAGGAGACCTTTAGCTGTCAGACATGAAATGTTGGGTGCATCTCTTCCAGTCTGAGCATGTCTGCACCTCTGAAAAGACATCAGTCCTTCAAGTGGGCAGAGCACAATGCAGCAGCTTTTCTTCCCTTGCTGTGCTCTTCTCCACCATCTGTTCTCTCCATCCCAAACAGCCACTCCTGTGGGTGCAGGCGTTCTGCTCTCACAGCCCAACTGCATCTTGCTTTGGTGGGGTCGGGTGTGACAGGCCTCTGCCCATCGAATGCAAAGAAAGACACAGAACAAAAAGCAGTGCTGGGGTTTTCTTCAAGCAGGTCTGTGTTACTCCCAGATAACTACTTTCCGCATAAGAGCAGTAGGGACTGCAGTCTGAGTGGGTTCTTCCTTCCCAGCGCTTCTCTGTGAAGAATGGCACATAATTCTTGAAAATATCTTCATCTTGCAAAATCATTTGGGCTGAACATTTTGATAGGTGGACAGGATGAATAAGTGGTAGTACAGATCATCACAGACTGTTTTATTAAGAATAAAAATCACTTATTATAAACATTCTCTACATGTAGGTAAGGTCTGGCTGGAATCTAAGAGATATAAAAAGTGTCTTAGTTTCTAAAAGAACAAAGTAAAATCTATTCTGAAAGAATATTATACAACACCATTTTTATGAGATTGCTTATTCTCTACAGTAGGAGTGATGCTTTTTTTTTCTGATCATTGACTCCTCTAATGCCTTGGAGGCTCTCACAGTTCCATTTCTGAAGTGGTTAAGTTCTGGAGTATGCTCATTTTCCATGTTTAAAAGAGAACCTAAAAAAAGACAACAAAAAGGGAAACAATGTACAACTGGAAGAGAAGCAACATGCAATGAGACAGCAGTGTCAATGTGTTCTGCAATTTTGGGGAACTTTAGGGATGCTGCCTGAGCTTGTGGGTCCTGCATACAGCTGCTTCATACGCTGTAAGCAAACCTCCAGGGACAGCTGGCATGTTCCCACAGCAGAGTCTTAATGTGCTAGCAGGGGAGGCAAGTATCGTGTAGTTTTGCTCTGAAATGCCTTTCCCCCGCCC